GGATTTGCGACACTCACTTGGTGGCCAGCAGCATATTCTTTCGGGAGTGCAGGTCGCTGGGGTCTGTGTGCTGCCGGTTCAAATATTCAGAAACAGCTTTGGCGGGAAACTCTGTTTCGCAGATGTAGCCAAAATCCCGAGCTAAATGAACAGCTTCTCCTGCAAAAGCAGCAGCAGCAGAGGTAATCATCAGCACCCAGCCTCTCATCCTGCCGGGGCAGGAGGGGCTCCCTAGGAGGTCAATTCTTACTATTTACAGAAGAGGCCAGCTGTTGGGAGGCAAAAGCAAAGGTGTGACAGATGCCTGAAGTAAAAATGAGTCTCAGGCTGTAACTGACTTGATGGAACAAACTTTGCTCCTGCCTCTTTTTCCAGTCTCTCCCTGATTATCCTTGCAGCCATTTCTTAGTTAGGTATTCCCTGAATAGCTTCAGGGCCTCCACACCCCATGCTTTGTCTTAAGGAGAAGCTGGGCCGATATATTCAGAAGCCACTTTACAATTGCCCATAGACACTAGGTTGGATATGCAAGATAGCTACCACTCTTCTTAGTAGGATTATACCACTTTAGATAAATATTAAAAGTCTTCCTATCTTTTGTGTTTTCTTTTGTATCTTCCTATACTTGTTTTAGGAAAAAATCTCTTATTGTAACCAATATATACAAACACAAATCATGTGTGCAGATATCCACATATATTAAAGATGTCCCATATGGAACATTAAAGATGTTGTTCCATATACATCTTACACATATGAGTATTTCTATCCAGCAATGAAATATTTCTTCTCCGTGTCTGTGTCTGTTTCTAGCTACTTAGGTTTCTGGTTTCTCCTCTTCAGAGGTCCCTGTTATCGTCCTTCTACTTAAGGACTTTCGACTGCACAAAGGTGACAGGGCAGCTATAGAAAACCTGGATATCTGTGGAAGCCCCTCTCAAACAAGGCATTATCACCCTTTAAGGCACAGCCTTACTGGTTCGAGGGAAGATCCCAAACATGAAAAAGAAATACACTGAATTCTCCCATAGCCACATTATTTTTAAGGTTACTTTAATCATCATTATGACAGTAACAACAAAAGCCCAGAAATGGTGCTTGCAACAATTCATAAAACTGAAAACTGCCAACCAACTGCTGGAATTTCAGTTCCACCCTTTTCCATCCAAATCCCTGTCTTGGGTTGGGATTACCATGACTGCTTTTCAAAATGAGGACTGTGATATTACTCATTCCCTGGAGGGCAAAAAGTAAACCCCCCAGGCTGAGAGTCAACCACTAATAAATGTGGTCTGGATATCTGGTGACTGTTGCCAGTGGAGGGTAAGTTAGGGCCAGGCAACTTTGCCCTAGAGCTGGCAAAGTGTGCTGCCTATAAATGTGATGACTTCATGGTTGCTGCTTACATAGTCTCAGACCCTGTCCTCCAAAAACCAGTTCCCCACATGAGTGTCATAATCTAACACCCATGAAAATAGAAGGAAAAACATACATGTTAGCCTCTAGACAAAATTCTACAACTTCCCCCATTAGGACCATCTGGATGTATTTCCTGTCCTTTCCTCATCCCACAAATTCAACAGCAGATCCTCTTGTTCTAGACTTCAGAAGATCCTTTTTAATATATACCATAAATATCACCCCCAACCCCAAAATGATGAGCAAATAATAATGCATTTGTTGTAATTATGTTCATTAATTCATAACTGATGGATCTATATTGAAGATCGTACATGACTCCTTTCCACGTTTCCTCACGCCCTACCCAATTCTCTCCCAGGCCTTACTAAGCTGTATTTCAATAACAATAAGTCCCATGTAATCAATCAGCAGGACATAGGTCCCTGGGAGTGACATGAGTTTAAAATAACCATTGAGAATTATGAACATAATGATAGTTTCATAACTAGACAATGTATTTGCTACTCCTGATTCAGAATTAAAATCTGGGAAGGAGAAGGGGTATAGAATGGATTGCTATTTACAGTGACTCTTGCTAGAGTTCAGAGGGTATTTCAGACACTCTGCCCTGCACCTGGCAGCAGAGGTGACCCCTGCACGGCTTGTAGGCTGAACTTGAGTACTCTTCACAGCACAGGGACCCTTATAGACCTCCAGTGGCCTCTCTACAATCGCTGGCTCCCTCTAAGTAAAAAGACCTTTGAACTTCTCTCTCCACCAGTCGCTTGACATCCACTCATAAGGGCACAACAATTGCAATGATTTCCAGTTAATCATGAAATGTGTAAAATGTCAGCCTTCAGCCGACAGTTAAGCTCAGCCACTTCGTGAAATGGCCACGCGTCTTGCTTACCTTCCACCAGTGAGGTGAGTAACGTGACATTTGCTGCTTTGCGCCTGCCCGCGGGTAAATTCAAACCGATTTTTTCTAGCCTTTCCCGCAAAGATCTCCCCCCATTTTTCGATTTGGCTCTGAAATTGCAAGAATTAACATTCTGATTAACCTCGGAGTGTTCCTGAAACAAAGTTTAGACTTAGCAATCTAAAGCCCAGTGGAGCTTGAAGAGGTTTTAACTTGAGGTTAGCACATTTTCCCCCTTCCTTTTGGTTATTTGCTGACAGTTCGCTGAGGTTTGCTTAATTTCTGCAATACGGGGCATAAAAAAAATTGCGCATTTTCTTTTTTTTTTATCTCATGAGGAAAAAATGATAGCAGATGGGAATAACCAGGGCGTAGGTTGTGGGTCTAGAGAAGGTAGATGTTGCACACACTCAAGCTCTTTCCTTGTCACAGAGCCAGTTAGGTGAGCAGAGACTGGGCGAGCACAACCATGCAGTAAAGAGGAAAGAACTGGGTGGTTCAGAAAGGAGGAGGCACTGGCTGAAACAGGTGGGCCTTGCAAGGAAGGGGTCAAGAGTTGCTATAAGCCCAGCCAAGTGTGGCTCAGTGGTTGAATATCTTCGACCCCGAACTAAGAGGTCACCTGTTCGATTCCCACTCAGGGCATATAACGGGGTTGCCGCTCAATGCCCAGTGCAGGGCAGCCAATCAATGATTCTCTCTCATCATTGATGTTTCTATCTCTCTCTCCCTTCCTCTCTGAGACCAATAAAAATACTTTTTTTTTTTAAAAAAAGAGTCACTATAAAATGGAATTGGGTTAAAAGGGAAACTAATGGTGATGTTAATCATAACAACAGTAAAACTAACACTTTAGGGAGTTTAGTTATGTGCTAAACACTTTATATTATCTCACTTAATCTCATAGCAAGTTTTATACACACACGCTTAAGGCCTGGGGGTGATTGAAAGAAACTTCCACACTCTGGGGCTCAAAGGACTCACTAGAAACCTGAACCGAAGTAGAGCACGGCCACTTTTTGGAAAGAAGGTGGCCACCAACCCCTGAAATGGGATAACTAGAGAAGTTCACCTCATATAATGTCACCCTCATGTCAGTGCCATTACCAAAGGGTTCAGGCCTTGGCAGGGACTCCGGGGGAGGCTTTACATCTTAAGATAAAAGCCACCTCAACTTTCCACAAGGAGCCTACAGATTGTCTTCCTCCACTATTAGGGCGTATCTTAATGGCCCCAAGGAGTAACTATTGATACTTCTAAAGCGGTGACATTGTTATTATTGGCGGTGATATCACTGAGGAAAGAAGGTCACAAGTCTAGAACAAAGTGTTCCAAACTGTGGGGCACAGTGCATTAGCGGGTTGTGACCAACTTAGACGCCAACTGCATTTTAATCAAAATAGATTGATCACACTAACTTGCAGGTACGGAGAGGGTTGCTCTGTGAAACTTCTGTTTCAGACAAGTGTGTGTAGCTTTCAGGCCTCACTCAGGCTAGCATGCCCGGGAAGTGTCCTGGGGCTAGGAGGGAGCGGGACGCGGGCCAGGGCTGGGAAAGTGGAAGGTTCCCAGGGTCGAGCACCCCGTGGCCGAGCGAGGCAGCGCGGACCTGCAGAGCGTGAGCCGAAGGAGGCGATTGCGCCCCCGGCCCCACCACGTGCGGCCGGCAACTCCCCGCTCGCTCCGCTCTCTGGCCGCCCGGTTGCTAGGCAACCGCGTCCAGCTTCCCAGCGGTTTTGGCGAGAATCCTCTCCCCCTCGCCCCATAAAAACTAGCGTGGGGGCGTTTTACCTCCTGAGGACGCCGCCGAGGAGAGACGCATTGAGGCATTCGGGGGGCGAGAGCCGTCTCTGCACCTCCCCCACCGTTACTTTGTACTTTGAAGTGGAACTGAGCAGAGACAAGCGGCCGGGAACCGAGCAAAACACCTCGCCGGTGTTGACGGACATGCCTCCCAGGAAGCCATCTTTATTCATCATCAGAGAAGTCACAGATTTGGGAGGAACCGGAACTAAAGAGAGAGAAAAAAAAATATATGCCATAAAGGTGACCGGGTTTCGATCCTGGTGACCGGCTGATAGAATGTGTCCGTGCGTGCGCAGGGCCCGGGCCACAGGACGCGCGCGCTTAGCGGGGAGCTGGAGGAGGAAGTGTTTGTGGCGCTGCGGTGCGTTCAGAGCACTGTGTACCAGCAAATGGAAAAGCCGTCAGTCCTCTGGAAATTTACCCCGTGTGTGCAGACAGGGGAGTGTCGCCGGCCACGGCCCCCTTCGTTCCATACATACATAAAGACTCAACCCAGAGTTTGGATTGGGCTAGGGAACCCGGAAAATCCTATTCCATACTGGCTTGGCGACCTTAGACATGTCTCTGAACCTCTCTCTTGCCTGGTTTCTTCATCTGTCTCCTGAAGGTGAATTGTCACTCTGCATGATATAAAATGGTAATGCAGTGAGGCCCTCTCTCCTGTCCCGCTGGACCCAAATCCTGGTCATCACTGGAGAGGATCAAAAGGGTGGGCCCCATCAGGTGCTGTGCCCAAGACTGACCAAGTAATAAATACCATCAAGCTGGGGAGCTGGGCCCCAAAGAGCTGCTCATTTCTCTAAAATGAATCGCATTCTTTTCTACATCATAACAGCAGATTCATTTAGAAATGAACCCTAATGCTCCTCTCCAGTGCAAGCAATTCCGCAGTGACATGAATTTTGTTTACAAATTAACAGAAAGCACCGGCTGTGGCTGTTTGGAGCCCTTATGATTTACAACAGGTGCCCTGATCAATCAGCCAATCACTCTAATTCATGTGAGCTGCGGTCTTGCCTTGCCCCAGTTGTTTCATTTCGGCAAGTAATTGATAACAAACCGCACTCAAGGTATGTTTTATGCAGAAGTTAATAAGAGCTGACAGCTGGTTGCCACTGCTACCCAGGCGCACTGTGTCTCCAGCCTGTATTTCTGTTTAATTGTCTCAGTGTCATCTGCACCCCAGGCAGAGGCGGGGCTCAGCAGAACCAGAAGGCTGGGAATGAGGAACAGTGAACGGTCAACCACCCAGTTCCCTGGCACCCTTGCTCCCTCTACACTGACGAAACCCATTTGCTTTCTGCAAGCTCCAGAAGCCACTGTGCAGGCGGCTTCTCCCGACTTGCCCTACACCTTAGCTTCTTCCATTGGGTTAGGAGGCTCCAAATATTCAAGCAGTATTTGTTCATCACCAGTCCAGGAAATTTATTGAAAAGGGAGGCTTCCGTTCCCTCTTTAATAAGGACTCTGTCTCACCCTGTAATCCTGGTAGTAGAAAGAGGTGCTCTTTCTGCTATCGGGAGCCGAGAACTCTACATGTCAAACAAATTGTATAATTTCCCTAGTATCGAACAGACTAACCAGCACAATATTTTGGTAACAGCTTATTCTCTGTATCACAGATTCCAGCATTCAGACCTTCATGATTATTTAGAGCAGCAGTTCTCAATCTGTGGGTCGCGACCCCTTTGGCAGTCAAATGATCCTTTCACAGGGGTCGCTTAAGACCATCCTGCATATCAGATATTTACATTACGATTCATAACAGTAGCAACATTACAGTTATGAAGTAGCAACAAAAATAATTTTATGGTTGGGTCACAACATGAGAAACTGTATTTAAAGGGCCAGAAGGTTGAGAACCACTGATAGAGCCTCCTAAAAGCCAGGTAGGTCCCAAATCTTTCATTTACTATGAATTGTATTCAGCCCTTTAGAAAGATTTTGTGGGAGGGGGCTTTCCTAGGGCAGTGGGTGTAGGACTGAAGCATTCCCTCCTGCCAGTGCTTAGCAGATATTTTTGGATTTCTGGCTCTGTCCAGAGTCCAAGACCTTATCCCAGGGCAGATGAATGATGTCAGCTAGCAGAGTGGATCTTGTGCACTGACGTGGTGGAGGTGGTGAGTTACAGAGGGACTTCCTTCTTTCTCATTCCCCTCATCATATTCTCATCAGTGATGCCGCTTCCCACTTAAGAGGGAGCCAGTGAAAAGTTGAAGCGTGAGTATTAATTAAATTTGAGTTAAATTCACTTAATAGACAGTGATTGGGATGGGACCATCTATCATTTAATTCTCTTATACAGCATCCACATCTGTTTTAATCAATCTTATTCCTCACAGCAGTTCTGATTTCCATATGTCAGATTCATATTCAAGCATTATAAACAAGTAAGTTATGATCATGGAAACTGACATTAGATCACCTTGGAAAACTTGCCCCCAAAATACAGATTGCCCTTTGTATTTTGACATGGTATGAGCTGTAGAAATAAACTGTATAAAAATCTCACACTTGCTACTCAGCAACATTTTCATATTTAAATACTACTTAGAATATTTTAACAGAAGAAACCCCACTCATCTAAACATAGTAAGCTCAGTTCCTAGTTCCTGGATAACTGGATATCTCCTGAGGATTGGAATTGTACCTGCTTCTCACAGCCCCAGATGCCAGATCTCTTAAAGAGCCAGGCCTTTAGAGACACTTTATAACTTGCCCTCTAATTTCACTATTGTTAATTGCCTGCTTTACCTGACAAGAGCTATTTCCTTTGGGGAATGTGTATTGCTCCCTCCCGTGGGCTGTACCTTCCTTTCCACATATACATTATCACCTAAATATCACCAATCCAGTCAGCTTCTGTCAGCACACTGCTGTCTGGGGGAGAAGGGGGAGGAGTTTTTTGTTTGTTTTTATCCATAAACAACTATTTGAACAGACATGCATCAGATATTTCCATTTTTAAATTTAAGTGTCCGTCATAGTCCTATCCTGTATTTTCTCAACCTCAGGTTACAAACCTCTTTTCCACCGGGACCTTAGCATTGGTCACCTGGACTAGAGCCTACACATTTCTAGTCCCAACTTTCCTGTAAGTCCATAGCACTGTTATCATCTACCTTCCCCTCCACTCTCACACCTCCTTAGCTCAGCTGATTAATGCCATATTTTATTCTTGGTCTTTTCCCTTCTGCTTTCCTCCAGTTTATCAATAAACCCAGGGAGCAACAGGGCCCGGTTGATTTGTTAGTAATTATGAGTACACTGTTCCTGCTCACGGAACCCAGAGATGACTAAGATAGGTTTAAAGCGACAGCAGGAAATGGTAAGGAAATGGAGCATAGCAAAACTCAGCACGAAGCTTTCAGTTCTTTACATGTTTACAATTTTCTGTGCATACATTAAAACTGTTTTGTGGTGTGTGTTTTTTTTTCTCTCTTCAGTTCTCAGTTGGATGGCATGGCCAACTTCTGGATGTAACACCCTCAAAACTTGCTCCCCCTCCTCCCTTTTCCCTTGCATTATTTTGGGGAGAAGGAAAAGGTTTAAAAACTGAATAGTATTCCATTACTGTGATTGGAGTTTTATTTAAGAAAGAGGAAGAAAAATGATTAGAAGGAATATTATTTATTAGTGGACTATATAGAGCCAAAGTGTTAATAGGCTAGCTCTTAATCTGTATTCGTTAAACTTAAGTGTGAAATTGTAGCTTTTAGATCTTTGTGTTTGACTGGAAACAGACCCTCTTAATCTGATCTGCTGGGGGGGAGGGGGGGAAGGAAGAAATAGATTCAAGGGCTAAGTCCTTCTGAAAGGTACATGGGCTTAGATATGTAAACTATACCAGGAAGCCTCCAAGAGGTTGAGCATTGCTTGAAATAATTACTTCTCACCAACAGAGCACCCCTTTCCTTACACTTGCATTGTTTCTCATCTACCAGAGGGCTAAATTTTATTCCAAATGTATATGTAACAATTGTACAAAATGAGGACTGAAATCCTGGAAAGAAAAATAAAAGGACTCCCACAAAGAAAGCTGGAACATAAGAAAAGCTGCAGACATCCAGAGCTAGCACCCTTTAGGGACAAAGTCTAAAGAGGCTAGAAACTGAGTTGGGTCCCATGGCTTACTCAACGCGTGGGACCTTGAGAAAGTCATTGACCGACCCTCTGTGTTCCCACACCGGAGGTGGGGTGGGGTGGGGTGTGGAAGAAGCCTGTCTAACCTTCCCAGCTTTGAAATTCTATGCACTCTGATTCCTCCCTGGGTGGCTGGAATGTATCTCAGAGTTCCTACTTGAATCAAGAGGGATCCAAGTCAGCTCTGGAAACTCACACCTTTTCAGACTCTCAGTCCTTTTGACCTTTGAGGGCAGAAGGAAGAATCCCAGCAGAACCTACTGTAATTGAAATTGGCAAATTCTCTATTCTCCCCCACCCAAAAGAAAATCCGCACCGATCAAGGTGTTTTTGTGGGGAAGGAGCCAGAACTAACGGGGAAAAGGGAGAGAATGGAGGTTACACTGAAACTAACCAAACAGGATATCCCTAAGACCAACGAAAATGCCCCACAGTCACATTTGGACCTTGGACTCCAGCCACACGAGCCTTTCCAAGAAATCCCAGCATTTTTTTTTTCCTGATGCCTAAGGTGTGTAACCAATTGCATATTGGCCTCTGATTGTACCAAAACCTTTTCTTCTTAAAATCTAGGTGAGACTTTTTTTTTTTTAATTAGTCTGTAGGATGTTGGCAGTGATCATGGTATTAGCTGGGCACCCCCACCCCCAACCAGCCCGGATTCCCAATCCTAATGGAACTGAGAGTTAAGAATTATTTTTTAATGTCTCGTTGGATTTTTAGACTGTTAATGTACCGAATCCTTCTCATTATTACTTTATTGATTGCTCATTGACCAGCCCCCTTCAAATCGTATTAACCACCCTCTGCCGGTTTAGATTAGGAGAGTTTAAAAAGCACCTTTCATTACTCCCACCCCCGCCCCCCACTCCTGCCATGGAGTTGAGACCCTGAGACTTGGCAGCTTAATGGGAGCTCTAATGGGGCAGCTAAGAGGAGAGGGGCCACGGTCCCTGCCGATTGCATTAATAGCTCAAAGGGGGCCAATCCAGAAAATTAGCCGTAAACGAGCTCTGGAGATCCTCAAATGAAAGAGCCATTTATCACGCTGGCTACCTTCACTCCACTCGTTTGCTCTCTCTACTGGGAACAACTCATTTCCTCTTAACTAAATTACTTCAGAAATGTCAGCTAAGCCCAGATAGCAAACATAACGAGAGAGCTAGCCTATAATCTATGGGGTGATATCAACACGGCTGAAAAATTGGAGTGGTCAAATTTTAAAAGTGGGGTGTCTTTCCATAATGAGAGAGAGAGAGAGGGGGAGAGAGATCCTTTCTACCTAAAATTTCCCAGCTTCATAAACACAGGCAGAGGCACCCAAACCTGCCTGGGCCAGTTGGGGCAATTTTACTAACAAGGTAGAATTTTTAAAAATCTCTTTAAAAGCCCATTAGAAAATAAATCAAGCAACCGAGCCCCCTGCCAGTTGTTGAAATTTAGAATATTTTGTTCAGAAAATGTTCTTACCTCCTCTTTTATGAAATTAATCTTTTGGAGACATCCCTCAAAAGGTGGGGGGTGGGGGTGGGACAAAGATGGAGACCAAAGAGCAGAGCAGGAGCTAATGAACTAACTCATAACCTTATTTTAAGTGGTACATAGTAACTTACAAAAGCCAATCAACCACTTACTCCTATTTCACCCATGACTCTCCAAAACTAAAAATATGATATTGGGATCTTTTCTTCATGCAATAATAAAGCAAATACCTAAAATATTAAATAATGGAGTAAACCTAACACTTCCTATTCATACCACACCCCCTAAATCAATAAAGTGACAAGGGTGCCACTTAGATGTTTTAAGCTGCACATTATTTAAAAAAAAAAAAAAAACCAACCTTTTAGGGCCATAACAAGTACTGCATGTTTCCAAAACAAAACCAGTATCTTTAGTCAATATCCTCCTTTTCTTATTCCTGAAGATACCTTCACGCATAAATATTCACATTCTGATGACAAACACATACAAGCCCTGAAAGGAAAGCCTCACACATCTGAGAATACAGTGGGGCCTTGACTTACGAGTGTCCCGACTAACGAGTTTTTTGAGATACCAGCTGTCTCTCCGCTGATTTTTTGCATTGAGTTGATAGAGTAATTTGAGTTAACGAGCTCCTTAACGAGCTCGGTCTGCGAACGAATTAAACTCGTAAGTCAAGGCCCCACTGTATGTTCAGCTCCCTTTGGTTGGGCAAGCTAAATTCCAATTATGTTTATTTAGGCCTGGCTATGAATAACATTTCTGATTGGTCATCTGTTGGCATGCCCCACTGCTAGCCCAAATGCTGCTTCTAGGATCTGGAACTCTGAGCTAAGGATTCTGGCTTTCCATGAAAATGGATGGGAACTAAAACAGAAAGAAACAAAAGCAGCCAATGAAGAATTACACCTCCCATCCCCTTCCCCCCCCACCCCACCCCCATTAACCAGCAATTAACCAAAAGAGAAGACCCAAGAGGAAATGGTGAAAGTGAGCTGTCAGCACAGTTGCAAATCTAAGCAACCAGACACTGGAGCAAACCCAAAAGCTGGCATTAAAAACTGAAGAAACGATACTATCTAAAGAAGAGAGGGAGAGATATTTAAAGCAACGCTTAAGTAGTTTTGCCCCAAACCTTTCTAATCTTTGGTCATTCCAAAGCCAAATGGCATCATTTTAAGCTTCCACCTCCCAGCTCCCACCTCTCAGAGCTACTTTCCCTGCCTTTTGTAAAAGAAGACAATATAGAATGCCTCACCCTTCTTGGAATCCTCACTTCACAACCCTCCTACTCTATCAGCTTGACTCTGGATTATTTTCCAAAACATCTTTCATTGTTTTTGTGCAAGTCATGTGGCTCCCATGAATCATAAATGACTGAGGCTGGGGCTTGTTGACACCAAACAAGGACAGGTCTTCTCCAGCATAGATAAGAAAGGGTTACGGTAGTTAGAATTGTATCTCCAAACACCAGTTCTTGTGATAATTAAAGATCGTTCTGTTTACACATTCAAGCTCCTAAATCTGTGGCATGTGAGTGACATTGGGGCCTTGCGACAGCCACACTAATCGCCACGCGTTCTCTCAGTGACAGTCAGAGAAGAAGGGGAAAAATGAAGCAGCTGCAATACGCCCGAAATGAGTTATTGTAATTACATTTAATTAGTTTAATTAGTTAATTATTTTGCTTACAGCTGTACAAGAGACTGCAAACATTTGTTAATATCGCATGCCCTTTAACAGTATGGGGTGATTCCACAGTCACACTAAATCATGAACGCATATGTAGGAAGACTTAGAAATGTGCATTGGCTGGCTCGGCTTCTCAGGATGCGCATATTTAGCGACACATTTGGCACAATTAAACAAAATAAGGAACAACTCGTAAAACACAGAGTCCTGGGAACAGACAGAGTACCACCGAAAAAACCAAATGCAAAAACGAGGAGAGAGGGCACCGTCTCAATGGCCTAGGATTCAGTTCAGCAAACTCCAGTTATCAATGAAATAATTCCAGTACATTTTTGAAAGCAGTGTTTCCCAGCTAGTTCCATACATGATGGTAGTGCAATTATTTGAGAGAGTATTTAGAATTGCTACCAAATGTACCAGGAGAGAAATGGCAATAGTCTCTGTCCCTCTGTCTCTCTCATCCGGGTTTCTGCCTGCGGTTTTGTTTTTCCCTCCTCCCCCCATTTCCTTCTTCCCGACATGCCCTTTCACCCAGACAGCCGCTGTTCTGTAATTGTGAACAAACATTTGTGTCTTATAAAATAATGAATTGCCCAAAGTGAAAACTCATCATGAAGACCATGAATGCACAGGAGAACTCTGGTTACTTTTGGGGGGAAATAATCCATACCTTTTTTTATGACAGACTGGTCCAATAGATTCATGCCGCTGTTATTGGCATCTTCAACTGACTGTGAATATAAAAACATCACTATTCAAATTGACTGGATATTAAAGAATCGCACACATAAATCATGTCATTCCAAACTGGAGTGTCTGTTATTTCCATTTATATTAATTCACAAAGGGAGGTTTTATTATTATCATTATTATCTCCAAATCGACATTGAGATGAAATTCACCCAAATTATACATTCTTCCCATGAAAGAAGAGGAAAAAGGAAACTGGGAGAGTCATCTGGGATGTGGTATTGGTTCAGTTATTATATTCAACACAGATATTACATAGACATATAAACTTTTATATAATTTGCTCTTATGAATTGTGAAAATTTGGCAACCGCTGAAAGATTTCCGCCAATATTAGTGAGAGCAATTTCAGTTTTCTATTCTATCCCTGCACATCTTAACTCCAGAATCATTTCACAAATACATAACAGTTTACATTATGGGATTTTAATTAAAGTCTGAGCAATTTGGAATGGAATGCAAACAGCAACACATAGGAACATGTTTGCAAGCCCCCAGGACCGCACACCCACTGCAGTCCATACACATCCCGAGCGCTGTGACCTTCCTGCCATATAGCAGTCCCTCCGAGGAACCTGCACAATTTGCTCCCCTCTCAACCCAGCTGCCCAGCAGCAGGAAGCACACCTGTTAGGAAGGCAGTCACTACAGGTACACAGACACACACACAGGCCCGGATGCTCCCAGTCAGCACCTGGCGATTGGCAAGAGCATTCATCTTCTGTGCCACAGTTTCATCCCCCAGGAGGCAAGCTTCCACCCTGGGTGTTGGCAGCACTTCTGAGGGGAAATAGCTGTTGGAATGGGTTTCTGTCTGGCTGTGCACCCCTGGGCCTCCAAAAGCAGCGGGCTCCCTTCCCCGCCCCTGCAATGAGGATAAATGCTGGGTCCTTCTGAAATGGACAACTGCTTTCCTGGGTCCACAGGATCCAATCTAAGCTTGGACCAATTCCTCACCCATTGTACAGAGAAGTCCAAAGCGAAGGGCCCGGAGCGAGGCGGAGTTTTTACAGCACCCCCCCACCCCCTCCCTCCTGCTGCATCCCCGACAAGGTGTGTGCTCCTCACAGGGGAGAGACTGCCGGCCCCAAACAAGCAGCGCGTTCGAAACTAGAGATGAGATGATCTAATCGTGGAGGGGGCATGTTACTCTGTTTCTTTGGGTATTTAATAGTCAGTCACTCCTCCGTTCTCGGAAAGGTGAGGGAAATTGTTATTCGCAGTAAGAACCGTTTTTCCAAGTTGCAACATGCCAGGCACATCTTAAGAAACAGCAAAAAGCCTTTAAAAAAAAAAAAACCGACTTCATGGAACTTGTTGGAAACTCCTCAAGAGACCCTACCACACGTGCGCGCGCGCGCACACACACACACACACACACACACACACACACGATTCACGGCTCTCTGTGCCCACGTGTCTACAGTGGCGACGTGTCCACGCAGGACCAGAGCATTCGCCTGTGTCCGGGGGCGGGCAGAGCCCCGCGATCTCACGCGCACGGACCAGCGCGCCCCCCACACCTCGCCCTCACGTCGGTACGTAAATATGTATATACGCCTCATCAGCGACGTGGGGTAGTTGTGGTAGTTAATGAGAAGGCTCTTGTCTGATTTTCTATCTAATTACGGCCGCCTGCTGGGTTTTTGTACAGGATATTCACGCAGCATGCTGGCGCTTAATCGTCACAGGGAGGATCGTAAAGATTTAATTAGGACTGCATGCGGAAGCGCAGAAAAACAACTCAGACTCGTAATTACTAGACTTCTTTAGTTAAAAGTGATACCAGGGGTTGCTTTAAGACACTGGGGTGTGTGGGAGTGAGTGTGTGTGCCTGTGTGTGTGTGGGGGGGGGTGCGCGTGCGCGCGTTGGGAGGTTTGACGGAACATCCTCATGTGTTTATACTCATGGGTGGTAGAGGTGATGAGAGGTGAGAGAGCAACTGATGGGAAGAAGAAAAGAGGTGTTCCTGGTAACTAAACAAACTCCAAACGAGGTGTCATCTCAGTCCCTCTTTCTTTCTGATGCTGTTTGTTCTAAGTTTTTTTTTAAACACTGCCCCCCACCACCAACACACACACACACACACACACACACACACACACAGTGGGTGAAATGTAGCATACCCAGAACCCAAGCAGCGATTTGCTAGTTTAATAGCCCCTGTGAGTAAATTGAAATAGAAATTGACAGGGTTTTATAGTTTCATTTAAAAAAATATTAGGAGCATTTGGTTAATTAGCTCTCCTCTTCTCTCATGGTTGGGGCGGTGGCCATGAGTGTGTGTGTGTGTGTGTGTGTGTGTGTGTGTCACACCTCAGCCCCCCAACCCTTGGCCAGATGAGGACCCCTGGTTGTGAAGTCCGCCAGCAGGCAGCACTCTTCGGGATCTGTCTGGTTGGTGGGCGGGGTGGGGTGGGGGTCCAGAACACACACTAGGCCTTTGAGACTGATCCAGTGACTACAGCCCAGCCCTGTGGAACCCCGCGCAGCAAGCCCATTCTGGCTGCAGGGAACTTTGAGACCCAGCAGGTTCCTGTAACTTTGGGCCCCCCAAGCTCCAGATCCTGAAGCTGGAAATGGAACCTCTGGATCCTGGGCTCTGGTCTTGGATACATCTCCTCTCCCCAGTCTTTGTCATCCACCCTGTGTCAAGACAAGCACACCTCACGAGATGGGCCCCATCTGGGAATGGTGCGGGATGTATCCTTCGCCATCCTTAGCACCGGGACCATCCACACAAAGTCCCCAGAGCCACCCCACTTCCCCGGACTCCTGGCTGGGATGCTTCTGGGGAAGGAACTGGGTAGAGGTGGGGTGGGGAACCCGTGAGGCTGGGCCTGCACCGGCTCCCCACTGAACTACCTTAGTCTCTGTGGTCTGTGTTCCCATCTGCAGCAGCTGGGCCCACTGGCCACGCTTTGACAGGGGTGTTCTCCCAAATGCTAGCCCCATTTTTCTCTCGCCCTTCACATTTGGCCAAACACCCAAAACACTCAAAGCGCCTCACAATGATCTCTTTCTTTAACATCTAAAACCAAATAAATCCGTTCCCTCTTTGGGGGGAATTCCTCTGTTGGGTCACCTGAGCCACTCGGCCAGCAGGGTGGGGGTGAAGTGACAGCCAGTGTCAGCACTGCCAACAGCAATGGTGATGAGCTGATCCACTTTCATTATCTAGCACTCTGAACCGTACTCAGAAAGGTTAATTTAAAAACTCCTTCCCCCCAGACACACATCACTCCAATGCATTAAAAAAACCACAACTATTAAATATTTCTTTTCTCATATGATATTCTGAAATGAGCATGATCTCCAGACAGGGACAGTCAAGCTCGATTAAATCAACAAAACTATCATTCTTATTACGGTGGGTAAATTCAGCCACAAATCAGGTGAGACCGTCATTTTTTGGAAACAATAAATAACTGAATTTCCTTTAAAACAGCAAACCATCACAGACTACCCACAGACAGCATTTGATGCTGCCACCGCATTTTAACTGTTCAGCATACATTTTTTTCTTCATCAAAATAGAGAGGAAGGACTTGTGCACCCTTTTCCCTTTCCCATTTTGTTTTTCTTTGCCTCCGAGGTATGCCTACCATCATGCACCAAGTATACAACTATGCCAAGGAGACCAAAGTGTCAATTAAATACCTTTCAACCATATTTATCTTTTCTGGAGACTATTTAAACTAAAGAGCCAAAGGAGACCTGCTTAGAATCACCCAGACAGGTTTTAAAAAGCATTTCTTTGATGTCTCTTTGTTTAGTTGAATCAAGTATTCTCAACCAAATCAGGCTCCATTGTGTAGGTTGCAGATGGGATGGTGTGGGGTAGGGGCAGTGTTTTGAGCCTTTTGTTTTAAGAAATAAACACGTGATGCCTTTCCATGGGAATGGTAACATTGAGGAGGAAGAGTATTAATGGAAGGGGAGGGTTGAGAGGGACCTGGAGAATATTGCTCCACAGGCATTTAAGGGACCGAAAGGTGAACAGGACCTCTCAAATCGTAGTTGTGGTTGTGGACTCTCAAAACAGAATTGTGGCTCTCTGGGTCTCTCCCACAAATATTCCATTTCTTGGGTGATGGTTCTGGAATTCAAACACCTTGGCAAAGGGACCTGCAGGTTATGGGACATTCTAAGGGATACCTGGCTTGGATCAAGGCAGCCCATGTTTTTCTTCCAATGTGCCCTGTCATGCTTAACCAAGGCTTTGCAAATCCAGCAGAACCTCTGAGCCTACAGAGGACCCTCTGCCTCTGTGCAGTAGCCCCAGCCCCTAGGCAGCTGGGTCTTCACCTGCCCAGTCCTGGGGCCAGGCCCACTCCAGGACGGGCTGGGCCAGGCGGTGCAGTGGGGAGGGTCCCCAGGTCGCTCACACAACACGCCAGCGAACAGGAAGGGGCCGGTAGCAGGAAGGCGAGACAAACACATCCAGCCTTGATGCTGATGATGCTAAACGATCAAGCCACACACACCTATTTCCCTCCTTCATGATTTCATTCCTAGCGGTTCTACTTTCATAATCGGACCTCCAGACATCGCCACTAGAGAGCCACACACGTCCCTACAGACAGAAACAGTTACACATGCTGTGTCCAGCGGGTCCCTAAAGATGCAGACCACCTCCCCCAGGAGACAGCCCCCTCCCCCGCCGCTCCCCTCTCCCGGAGCCTTCGCGATGCATCTACTGTCCTTTTCGTGTGTTCGGGGGTGGTTACCTGGACGTCTTCCATGCCGGGGTGGCCGAGGCCGTGCAGCGAGAGGCTGTCACCCATGCCCGCGTCCAGGCCGTGATGCGCCGAGTGCAGCAGCACGTCGGGCCGGCGGACCGAGTGATAGTCCCTCCGGGGGTCGAGGCCCGAGAGCTGGGGCAAGGCGGCCCGGGGCTGGGGCAGGAGAGAGCCGGCTTCCGAACCCACTTCTTGCCGCTGCCGTTGCCCCCAGGGGTGCTGCTGGGGCTGGTGCAGGGGGTTCAGGGAGTAGGGGTCGTTGACGTGGGAGTAGGGGTCCTGGCTCTGGTGGTAGGGGAGCGGCTGGTAGGGGGGCGGAAAGTAGGGCGGCTGGAAGTCGGACGACGGGGTGTGGGACAGCGGCGGGGCGCTCGAGTAAGGTCCTTGGGACACCGAGCCCAGCTGGGAGAGCCGAGAGCTGTGGCTCGGGACGCCATCGTGCCGGTCCTGGGAGCCGAGAGAAAGGGAGAGAGAGAGAGAGAAAAGAGAAGGGGAAGAGGAAGAAGGAAAAAAAAATACAAGCGACAAATGGAGAACCGGCTTCAGTGCTTCTTCCCCGGACGGGGGAGGCAGGAGTCTGAAACTTACACGGCCAAGTTGACTCAGAGGGCGAGTGATCTTCAGCAATTCCAAAGGCAAGGCTTTGGGGGGCAGGGGATGGGGAGAATCACCCACACAACCGACATCGGAGCCTTCCGTGGGGAGTGCAAAGCCAGCAAAAAGGGCGAGGGGGAAATCGCTGTGCATGGGGTGAGGTTCTCAAGTCCTTCGTTAAAAATAGAGCCGGCTTACAGATCGTCTTTGCTCTTCTGGGTGTTTAGGGCAATCGTTTCTAACTCTGCCAGGGTTCCCAAGCACAACAGATGAAACTGCACCCTGTCAGCTGTCCTGCTCCTCCAGTTCAAAACCAACTTCTTCCTTCACTGGCAACCCGGGGGAGGGGGGGGGGCGCCCGAGGGACTCCCCACACCGCCCGACAATTCCAGGAGCTGCGAGGAATCTGTGTGATCTGGGTCCCCAGTCCCCCCTCCCGCCCCAAGAGGAATGAAGTGAAATCGTGTTTGATTGAAATGGATCTCATTAGGAATCACATCCTAAGCCCCTGTGAAGTTGAGCTGTGGTTTGCAGGAGCTATTTCGAAGGTTGCCTTTCTCTATCTAATGCTATTAGATACTCCAGGGTGTGAAAATGAAGGGCTTGAGGTTGGAAGGAGGGGAAATAAAAAAAGCCCAGAACTCCCTGTTGGTCCTATCTGGAGTGGTAAACTCAGTGGAAAAAAAAAAAAGAGGAGGTCTGTGTGAGAGAGAGAAGGGTGTTGAAGTTTCTCCCTCTCCGCTGTGCAAATGCCACGGTAAAGTCCCTGTGTTTCTTTTTGGAGAAACAGTCACCTCAATTTCTAAACTGCAGTGGCAAATGAAAAGTTTTCTCTTTGGTCCCCCCTCCTCCCCTCCCCAGCTGACTCCAAGAGCTCAGACGGAGAACACACAATGCAAGAGAAGCAGCTGCAGCCTCGTCCAATTATGGTGCTAAATTACCAAGCCAAAGGCGCTCCGAGGAAGACAGAGACAGAGAGAGTGAGACACGCACACAGAGACGGAGAGACGCAGAGAGACAGCGAGGGAGCATGCAGTTCTGGTACAACGTGAATCCAAACTCACCATGGATGAATAGGTGTGGACTAACATCTGGAAAAAAAAGCCTGGTTACTGCTCAAAATCAAACAATGATTTCCAAAAAAAAAAAAAAAAATCAAGGAGTCCAGCAAAGACACAAGCTGGACACAGAAGCCGAGCTTGAAGTGTTTCCAGGGCCAGCCATCAAAAAAAAAAAAAAATGCCCCCCCCCCCCAACAAGATTGGCACTGCCGTCACACACAGAGCTCTTCACCGGTCTCTTGCTGTCTTTTTGGCCTTTTTTTTTTTTTTACTTCTGCCTTTTTTTCCCCCCGGGCTCCAGAAGCCGTCCTCTTCCACCCGCAGCTGGGCTCAGACTGCTCCGGCGCCCCTTCCTCCCTCCGCTTGCCTACACCGCCTCATAATAATTGATATTCATGACTATTAATATTACACGAGTACTTTAAAGGGAGAATGGAGGACAAATGGAGCGTGAAGCAGCAGCCAGCGCAGAGCTCCCCTACTATTGTAAATGACGTTCATTCAGTGGAGAATTACTAGATGTAATCAGAGGGGGCTGGCAGAGGCGGACGGGGGAAAAAGTTTAGCAGGAAAGAGGCAGAACTTCAAGGGACTGAGCTGGGGACAGCCGCCCCGCAGAGCAACCTCTGTTTCCTGGGACAGGGCAGTGAGGGAGAGCATCGCAGGGGGCTGGTGTAGCAGGAGGAGTCCCGGTTCCTGGAGAGGGACTTTCCTGATGGGAAGCACGGATCGCCCCGAGGTGCTTGGTGTGCAGATTAAAAAGCAGAATAAGAAGGCGTTGTCTCAGCGCTTGGAGGGGAGAGGAGAGGAAGCCGGTGGGCCCGGTTGTTTACAGTGATGTGTGCGGACATCCACCGGACCTTGGAGATGGTGCTTACGTGTTAGAGGACAGAGGCGACATGGGGGCTCGTGCAGCCGTCCCCGCTTTAATGCTCACACACTGAGTCTGTGAGTTTTACCTCAATTTAAAATACATGCCATCAATCTTCAGGCACACTAAACCTATCCTTTCCCCAAAGCCAGGGGCAACAGAAAACCTTTTCGGATATTTCAGGAACCCGTTCGACTGGCTTGACTGCCATTTCTGTTAAAGTTCAACCTTCCTCCCAACTTAAATGGGCTCCTTCCACCAGGCTGCGGGCTCTCCTCTATTTTTCAGCACAAAATTTAGCAGCTGGGAGTACCTGCAATGTTCTCTGTCTCTCTCTCCTCTCTCTCTCTCTCTCCTCCCCCCCTTTATTCTCTTCCCCTCTTCCACGCCACCCCTGTCTCTTCCCCTCGCCCTCCCTTCTTTCTTCTCCCCCCTCCTTGATCATTTAGCCAGTTGACTTTTCACAATCGAAGAACGAGTGATGCCC